ATCACACAGGGTTGGTTGACGGGAGGTGGGGGGAGTTCTTTGTAGATTAAAGTTTTAAGACCCTCTCCTTAATTGGTCTCAATCTACTTATATTATTTGAAAATAAGGATAATTTTTGCAAGTGAATATCCCTCTGTAGTCTCTCTATCAAGTCTTTTCCTCCCCCATATATGGTTCAAATGGGAATTTTATTAAACTGAAAGCTACTCCCCGACTTGCCATGTCAGCATTTGGAAGCTACTAATCGGCAAGCTGGCTATGAAGGCGTGCAGATTCACGCCCTTACATTATTACTGGATTCCAGCACTCGAAAAAGAAATTGCCTAGTAGTTGGTTTTTTTTTAACCTCAATACCTTGTGTTTGGTTGAATAGTGACATTACACATGGGAGTAAAATCATAGAACTTTGTTCCGGGCCCTGGAACATTTACTAATTAATAAATACCCAAGGAAAACAAGGAGATGATGTCTCCTGCTTCCTCAGCTTTTGTGATTATAATCTAAATACTGAGCCTGTTTCTCCTTTTCCCGTTCCTCTGTTTCCATGATACAAACTGCAATTGCACAGCACAGCCACAGGGACGTGGAGAAATAAGGTAATGTAGTAAGGTGCTGTACAGAGGAAAATTGCTTAGGCGTGTAGACTTCCCTTTAGCAGCCCGTTTATTCTCCAGGTTTTTTGATTGGACTGTCTGATAAGTGATATATTTATACTCAACTGGTATAAGGATTGCTGATTTATATTGCTTTGAAATTCAGCTTATACTTATGCAAGATAATCGTTTATTCTTTCAGTGATGTTCCCAAACTGAAGTTTGCAATGGGGACTTTTTTTGTTGTTGTTAGACCAGACCTCCAAATTCTCTTTTAGTTCTGTCTATGGAAATGCCTACTTTTCTGAGTTTAAACTTTCCAACACGTCTGCAATTGAAGTAAAATGGTTTAAGGATGTGAGTATAGTTTTTCATATCCTGCTTTAGGGGGCAGCAGAAATCCCAACTTTATCATTGTTTTCTATCCTCCTATTGCCCTTACTAAAATAGGGTTGGTTATTTGTGATCGAGTTGAATACCTAAGTGTCCATGAGTTAGTGGTCTGTTGCATATTGAAGTTCAAGAATCTGATCCCCATTTTCTTTAAGAAAAGAGTGAATCCATCAAAATTAACTGGATAGGCAATGCAAACTTGCCTAATGTCTGCCTTTGGAGTCTTGCTGTGCTACTGTGAGATAAACACTGTACTACTGACCACAAGGAGGGCTGTTCCAACTCACCAGCTGCTCTTCAAAAACCCTATGTATGGTGCTATGGGTCGCTATGGTCGCTATGGAAATGACTTGACAGCACTTAACAAAAACAACAATTTCTGCATTTTCTCAGTGCTGTTAAATAGTGCTACTGAGGAGAACAAGACTTCTTTATAAAAATATAGAATATTTACAAGAAGGACAAGTGGAAAAAGTTTGAAGGTTAATTCAGAGTTCTGTCGTGGCACCATAAGATAAGCGCTCAACTTTAAGGTTGGTTTGAACCACAAGTTTGGGGGTTCAAACTCACCAGCTGCTCCTCGGTAACCCTGTACAGGATCACTGTGAGTTGGAACCTACTCTACAACACTTTTCAACAACATTTGTTTTGATGCAAGTCAAAGGATTAAGGCTTCAGTTTCTGCCTTATTTTCTTTGTAACTATATCTTCAGTCTTATGTATAAGAACTTTAAGAATCACAATTTCAGGAGTAGGAAGGAGAGACATCAAGGGAAACAAGAGAAAGGCATGCCTGCTGGTTAGCTTTATTTTATCACAAAGCCTGGAGGCCAAACCAGAAAAAGCAAACCAAACCCAGTCCATCGAGTTTATTCTGACTCATTGTTGTTGTTAAGTGCCATTGAGTCAGTTAAGATTCACAGTAACCCTGAAGAGGGTTTCCCAGAAGGGACTGGTGAATTTGAACTACCGACCTGGAAGTTCAAACTGCCCTTGCCATCCATTGCATTATTCTACAATGCCACACCAGGACTCCCATTCCGACTCATAGAAACCCCTACTTAGGATTTCCGAAACTGTAAATCTCTATGGAAACAGAAACCCTCATCTTTCTCCCTCGGAATGGTATTGGGTTTGAACTGCTGGCCTTGTGATTAGCAGACCAGTATTTATCCTAATGCCAACAGGGCTTTTTGGTGTGGTACCTTAAAGTTAACTCGATGGCTGCCCTGTTCCCCTGCCTTAAGTTTTAGTTTGAGAGACTGGTTGCTGTGTCCCAGAGAGAACTAACAATAACAACAAAAAATAGGTCATTTTATACCAGGAAAACGTTTTTCTAGATTGTGTTTTAAAATATCATTAGAGCATTGTTGTTGTTGTTGTTAATTGCCATCGAGTCGGGTCCGACCCATAGAGCATAGGGAGAAATATTCAAGAAAGGGGAAATAAATACTTGAGCAAATATGAGAAATACTCAGATGTTCTTTAAGTCAGTCTTGAAATTGTCTGGGGAAATTTTATATATATATATATTTACCTCCCTCTATGCTTGGAGTCCTGGTGTGGCGCTGTGGGTTAATGTGCCAGACTGCAAAGCCATTTTAACTGCAAGGTCGGTGGTTCAAGCTCACCAGCTGCTCCTTGGAAACTCTATACAGGGTCGCTATGGGTCGGAACCGACACGACAGCACTTAATAACAACAACAATATAATGCTGTCTAAGGATCTCATGTTTGATAAGGTGGAGGGTCAGAGGAAGATCCCCAACGAGATGAATTGGTCAAGTAGCAGCATCAATGGACTCAAGCATGGCAACAATAGTGAGGTTGACCTAGGATCAGGCAGTGTTTCATTCTGCTGTGCATAAGGTCACTATGAGTCGGTAGCGACTCGATGGCACCTAACAACAACAACAATGCTAAGTATTAAATTTGCTCTCATCTATTTTTTCCCCAACTAACACCCTGGCAGTGAGCATCTCTATTAAAATAATAGTACAATCAGTATAATTCCATATCATAACCCTCAGGCTGTGAGAATCAGCCAACCAATCTGAGTTACATAACCATTAAGTAAGACATTTTAACATTCAGGTACATTATATTCCACTTTTATTGAGCAGACACCGTTTTCATTATCTAATAAAATATTTTTATTTGATAGTCTGTCCTTGGTTATAGCCTCAAGTAATCAAGGGGACAGCATGTGTAAGACTTTGTATCCAGAGCCTTAAAGTCCAGTTGTGATTCACTAATTAATAACTCACTTGGCAGATTAAATTCCTAGTTATTTGCTGACTCTCACAGACCACATTTCACATGGGGAATTTGTTTCAAATTTACTCACTTGCCTCAGTTTCCACAAAATACACCATCAGGGAATTCTGGGTATTTAATAAAGATCTCTAAATATAAGAGCATTTTTGAGCAGTTCACTTCGTCTAGAAACTAAATTATACTGATTAATACGTATCTAGATATCAACAGCTGATTTGTTAGTTTAAGATGTCCTCTTTTGCTTATTTCTCCAGAATAAGTGGTTGATGGCTAATAAGAATCACTAGTATGCTAAAAGAATCATAATACAATTTAATATTTAGACTTGTATCCACTAAATTTTCCCCTAAAACTTGTAAAATGAGATGCAAAGTAACTTTTTCTGCATGCCCTGGTGATACTGTTTTATTTCAAACAATGACCAGATGTGATCTTTATAAAGAACATTTGATGTTTATGCAACCTTTGATAAGTTACCTGACTTCTGTGTTTCCTGGTTCCTAAAGTATAGATTTGGAGTATTAATATCCATCTAAGGAGCTCTGGTATTGTAGTGGTTACAAATTGGGCTGCTAACCTCAAGATCAGCAGTTCGAAACTACTAGTTGTTCCATGGAAGAAAGATGAGGCTTTCTGCTCCCATAAAGATTTGCAGCCTCGGAAACCCTGTGCAGGGTCACTATGAGTCGGAACCGACTCTACGGTACTTAACAGCAGCAATGAAGCTTACATAAGTTACTGTATTAGAGCTTGACTGGTACATGAAGTCTTCAGTGAGTGTCAGCTTTTATTACTAGACTGGCGTTCTGGGTGGTACAAATGGGGAAAGCACTGCACTACCAACCAGAAGGTTCACAGCCTTGAAAACCCCATGGATTGCAGTTAAATTCTCACACACATGGGGTTGCCATGAGTTGGAATTGATTTGAAGGCAACTTTTTTTTGGAGGGAGGGTGTTATTAGTAAGAGTATTAATTTAACTACAAGTAATATATCTTAACAATTGGTACCCTGATCTGAAAGGTAAAGTTTTTGTTGTTTTAAATCATGTTTTCCTTTTTCTTTTTCAGTTGAACAAGAAAACATTGGTTATGGTTAATGCCTTTCATTGCAGAGTACAAGCGACTGACTTTTGGTGACCATTTTAAGAATGTTGTCTAGTTAATAGGTACCCTTGTCAGCAGCAGTAGTAATTTTGAACTGCAAAAATAAAAGTTGTTTTTAAGACTTAAAAATAAACGACCTCAAGTGTTTACCCTTCCCTCCTTTTTAATTTTATCTGTATTCACATTTCTAATTATTGCTCAGTCAGAACCTCAAGTTGCTAGTTATTGATTTCTGAGTTTATAAAGGAAGCCACTGAAACAAGATATAAAATGAACCTTTGACATTAGTGCAAAGTTCAGAAGGGTTTGTTTAAAACTTTCCTTAATGACAGTAAAGCAACTATTTGCTTATGAACTGCTGAAGTAACCTAATGTGAGTATTGAACCAAAGCCTCTTTGCTGAATTTTTCTTGGTTTGCTAAACAGACCTATATTTATATAGATTCTATATTCTTTCAGAATAAAAACTTATGACTTTTCAGCTAAAACTTTGATTTCTTTCTATTTTAAAATGAATTAACTTTTGACCTTCATTCAGCCACATTAAGCATCTGGCAAATTATATATGCATGTTCTTTTTTTATTTGCTTATCTGTATTATTTTTGGGTTTTTTTTTTGCAGATTTTAGGTGATGGGCAGATCAGAAAGTCAGATGGATATAACTGATATCAACACTCCAAAGCCAAAAAAGAAACAGCGATGGACCCCTCTGGAGATCAACCTTTCGGTCCTAGTCCTGCTCCTTACTGTCATAGCTGTGACGATGATCGCGCTTTATGCAACTTATGATGGTGAGCTACTCTCCTACCTGCGCACCAACCGATATCAAAGGGAGTCATGCCTTCACCTTACGCTTTTGTCCTCTAACAAATGTGTTAAGGACAGAAACACTCGAAGGTGATATAAACATTTATTTATAAAATATAACATGAATGTTTCAAAACATTTCACTTTGACTAAACCACCGTGTCTTTTATATTTGTGCTGAGTTATGAATTATGAAGTATATTTAGTTCCCTGGTGTTTATTTTATAAAGATTCGAATGTGTAATTTTTTTTTATTGAAGTATGCACAATTGTATGTATAAGTTCAGCAATAGTCATTAGTCAGTTTTTGTTGTGTCATTAAAATGTGAAAGGACATCACAGGAATATAAGAGGTCTCATTTTTAGAAGGTTTTCCTAGTAAGGATTAGAAAAAATTAATTTCTTAATAGGGAATTTTTTAAAAAATTTTTTAAAGAAATGATTACTTCAATTTAGTAGACCTACAGTCTGATGGAATCCTGGTGTGGCGCTGTGGGTTAATGTGTCAGACTGCAAAGCCATTTGAACTGCAAGGTCGGCGGTTCAAGCTCACCAGCTGCTCCTTGGAAACCCTATACGGGGTCACTATGGGTCGAAATCAACTCGATGGCACTTGACAACAACAACAGTCTGATGGGTAGAGATGATAGAATAAACACAGTTTTTCATAATGAGTTTTAAATTTAGATTTTTCCTGTTGATCTTGTTCTTATTTAACCACTGACAATGACGCAACATTAAGGGTTAAATTATTGTTTTAAGGCATAGTTTGTTAAATTGACAGCTTAGAAGAAACAAAACAGAAATTAGAGGGAAAAAAAAAGAGTGTTGCAAATAGTTATGCACATACCTTCCTTTTTCTAGATGGCATTTGCAAGTCATCAGGCTGCATAAAATCAGGTAAGAAGATTATTTCTAAAATTAATTAATTTGAAACACATTCTCATAGATATATATTTATGTTTGCTTTTTTATTCTCTTATTCATTCTGGATAACTTATGTATGTGTTTGGCTCTGTATTCAAAGAAAATAAAAATGTATGTAGGTAGATAAAATAACTTGCTTAGTCTAAAAAAATAGTTTATTGTCTTTAGTCCTGGTAGGGCTATCTAGAACTATATCTAATGGGTTAAGCATTGGCCTACTAACCACAAGGTCAGCATTTCAAACCCACCAATCTTTCCTTTTCTGCTCCCATAAGCATTTGCAACCTTAGAAACTCTAGAGTAGTTTTCTTGTGGCTCTATGGGTTAATGCACTGGACTGCAAAGTTATTTGAACTACAAGGTCAACAGTTCAAGCTCATCAGCCACTCCTTGGAAACCCTATTCTGGGTTACTATGGTTGGAACCGACTCAACGGGACTTAACAACAACAACAGGTCACTATGAGTCGGAATCAATTAAGTGGAGGTGGATAGAGAACTATTCTATATCTCTAACTTTATAGAACTTGCCAGCTAGTTTGATTAAGAAATTCAACATGCGTGAAAGAGTAAATTTCTTGATGCAAATCATTAGAAAGGTGGAAGCCAAGAAGGGAATAACAGGCAGTCATGCAAAGCTTTATGGAAAATTTGAGATTCCAGAACTTGAGATTTAAGAGGTGCACAGAGTAGGGGTAGGATCTGGAAAGGGAGGCAACAGAAGAGAAAATTCCAGACAGGTGGAACAATAGGAATAAATCATGTTATTGAGCAGTAGTGAAAATGTAGGTTAGGTAATAGGGGCCCATTATGGAGAGCCTTGAAAATCCATGTCTAACCTTCATGTTGTAATAAAGTCATGGGTATTTTCTTGAGCAGGAGAGTGATAAGGCAAACATTGAAATATGATTCTGGCAATGTTAGGCTGGATGGATTGAATGAGAGAGAATAGGTAAGTCATGGCAGCAGGCAGGTGGAGGCTGCTGCTGAAATCAGGTGGAACCTGGGAGGTTGTCGTGTGGTGGGATGAGTGCTGTGAGACATTGCGGAAGAAGAAATGGAATGCTGGATGACTAAACATAATGAATGGTGTGAATGAGTTGAAAATGACATCAAGTTTTAAAGCCTGAAGGACTCATGAGAATGATGGCAGCACACATAGAAGTAGGAAATAAGTTTGTTTTAAGGGAGAAACATGATTAATGGAGATCTGGAAGTGTTGGTGCTAGGCAGTTAGATGGAGAGAAGAAAGGTTGCAATGGGAACAAGAAGTTGTTACTCGGAATTTGAGCTCCTTGGCTCAGGAGTGATAAGTGAAGTCTGGAGACTTCAATTCCCATCTGAAGAAAGGAAGAGGACCAAGGAGTGTGAACTTAAGAGGACATGAAAAATTAGGATAGAAGGAAAAGAAGAGTAACAGAACTATGTACTCACTGCCAGAGTCCTGGTGTGAGACTGTAGGATAAGTACTGAGCTGCTAACCACAAGATCGATGGTTCAAACTCACCATCCACTCTTTGGAAACTGTATACAGGGTTGCTATGAGTTGGAACCAACTCTACAGCCCTTAGCAACAACAGCTTACTGCCGTGGAGTCAATTCTGACCCATAATTACCCTGGTTTCTGAGGCTGTAACTCTTTCTAGAAGCAGATAACTTCATTTTTCTCCCTAGGAGCAGCTGATGAGTTTGAACTACCAACACATGCCCAACGCATGTTGATGATTGTGTGCTGTGGAGTCAGTTCCAACTCATAGAAATCCTATATAGGGTTTCCAAGGCTGTAAATCTTAATGGGAGCAAAAAACCACATCCTTCTCCCATGCAGCGACTGGTAGATTTGAACTACTGACCTTGCAGTTACCAGCCAAACTCATATGCTACCAGGGTTCCGTAAATATAGCTCTAGACTTATGTATCATGACAAGCTATGGACAACATTGCAAAGTATGAGTATTCTTGAACACTTAACTGGGCTGATAAGGAATCTGTACCTGGACCAAGAGGCAGTTGTTCGAACAGAACATGTGAATACTGAATGGTTTAAAATTAAGAAAGGTATGCAACAGGGTTGTATTCTTTCACCATACTTATTCAACCTGTATGCTGAGCAAATAATCTGAGAAGTTGGGTTATATGAAGAAAAATGTAGTATTAGGATTGGAGGAAGACTCATTAACAACCTCCAATATACAGATACAACCTTGCTTGCTGAAAGTGAAGAGGACTTAAAATATTTACTGATGAAGATCAAAAAGCACAGCCTTCGGTATGGATTGTGTCTCAATGTAAAGAAAATGAAAATCCTCACCACTGGACCAATAAACAACTTTCTTAGCTACGGAGAAAAAATTGAAGTTGTCAAGGACTTCATTCTTCCTGGATCAACTATCAGCACTCATGGAAGCAGCAGTCAAGAAATCAAACAACATATTGCATTAGGCAAATCTGCTGCACAAGACCTTTTTAAAGTGTTGAAGAGCAAAGATGTCAGCTTGAGGACTAAAGTGTACCTGACCCAAGCTGTGGTATTTTCAGTAACCTCATATGCATGAGAAAGCTGGGCAGTGAATAAGGAAGACCATAGAAGAATTGATGCCTTTGAATTATGGTGTTGGAGGAGAATGTTGAAAGTGCCATGGGCTGTCAAAAGAACCAATAGATCTATGTTGGAAGAAGTGTAGCCAGAGTGCTCCTTGGAGGCCAGGATGGCCAAACTTCATCTCTCATATTTTGGACATATTATAAGGAGGGACCAGTCACTAGAGAAAGAATATCATGTTTGGTAAGGTGTAAGGTCAGAGAAAAAAAAAGGAAGACCCCCAGCAAGAAGGATTGGCAAAGTGGCAGCATCAATAGGCTCAAGCTTGTCAACAATTGTGAGGTTGGCCCAGGACCAGGCAATGTTTTGTTCTGTTGTACATAGGCTCGCTATGAATCAGTACCAACTTGATGGCACCTACTAACAACAATAACAACATCCATAAGTATACTTGTAAAGTTCATCAAATTGTAGCAATTTACACTTGTTTCTTTATCAAATGTCTTTATCTTCCTCTAGTCAAATTCTGATCATCAAACTATCGAAGATCAGTCAAATGAGTACTAACTGCAGGTTTGAGTGTTCTTGTGTGTCTCCCCGCCATTCCTGTCAGCTGGACACTTCACTCTCAGCTCTAGCTCTCTATGGCTAAGTCCTTGTCCATGGGCTCAGGAATTCCCAAGTCTCACTATACTCCGGACCAACCAGCCTTTCCTCTTATATCTCTCATCTCAAGGTCGATGAGAGTCCAATTCCTCATGTTTTTTAATCAACTGAGTTTTTTGACTAGATAGGCATAAATTTGTAAAACACAGGTAATTTTGCTTCAGTTATCTGGACTGGTTTCTCTAGTAATATCAATTCCAAGAAACAATGTGGCTTCCAGAATCTGGAATTTTAGATGTGAATTAACATTTCTGGATAAGACTTTTTAAATAGTCTTTTGGCAGTGTCTCAATTCATTAAAAATGTATTTAACAAGCACTCTAATTGTAGCTTAGAAATCAAGCACCTTATAGAACTATATCTTGGCAGAAAAATATGTACTGTAGTGTAAGCTTCAGTGGTAAACAGGGTCACTGTATGTTTTTCTTCACTTTGTTCTATTGGTTCACAAACTTTTAGAATATGCTTCATGTTCATTGTTACTATTCTTCTTTGGGAAAAAAATGAAGATGGTACGTACCCTTATACCCATGCTCATGCACACACAAAACACACACACACACACACACAGATTTCTGTGCTGCTTAGGAAATCTTAGAGAGTCCTGGTGTGGCACTGTGGGTTAATGCACCAGACTGCAAACCCATTTGAACTTCAAGGTCGGTGGTGCAAGCTCACCAGCTGTTCCTCTGAAACCCTAAACTGTGTTGCTATGGGTTGGCATCACCTCGACAGCACTTAACAACAACAACAACAACATATTAAGGTAACTAGGACAGTCCTAGAGGGAAGAAAGTAACAAGGAGAGAGAGATAAGAGTTGAGTAGATGGAACAGAAATGAAAACTATAGAGAAAAAATCTGAACAACATACCCCTAAATTCGTAAATCATTTAAAATTTTAAATATAAAACCAAAATATAGAAGTTCTTTGAATTGGAAATGTAGCTATTGACATTCAGTATGCTAGTGTAGAGGGTTATGCTTTGGGCTGCTAACTATAAGTTAAGCAATTCGAATCTCCCAACCTCTCCACAGCAGAAAGAAAAGGCTTTCTGCTCCCATAAAGATTTACAGCCTCAGAAACCCTGTACAGGGTCACTATGAGTCGGAACCGACTCCATGGCACATAACAACAACAATATACATAAAACAATATACATAATTTTAAAAACAAACCAATTGCCATTGAGTCGATTCTGACTCAGGACAACTCTATGTGCTACAGCATAGCACTGCTTCTTAGTTTTTTCTCAGCTGTAATATTGATGTAAGCAAATGTAAGCCTTTCTTCTGTGATACTGCTGGGTGGGTTTAAACTACCAACCTTCTAGTTAATGCTTTTGTTGTTGTGAAGTGACTTTAAGTTGGTTCCGACCCATAGCGACCCTGTATAGGGCTTCTGAGGAGGAGCTGGTGAACTTGAACCACCGAACTTGCAGTTCAAATGGCTTTGCAGTGTGACACATTAACCCACAGTGCCATACATTTATACCACAGTGGTACATTTATACCACTCAGGGACCTAATTTTTAAAAAGCTTGTTGGTCATTAAGTGAACTTCAACTCGTGGAATACACACTTTAAAATTAATTAAATGTCTGAGACTACAACTTGTGTATATATCAAATGGGAGTACCGTGATTCTAGAGGGTAAGCACTGGACTGCAAACCACAAGGTTGATGGTTCAAATTCACCAGCTACTCCATGGGAGAAAGATGAGACTTTCTGCTCCTGCAGAGATTTACTGCCTTGGAGACTCTGTA